CGTTATTTGAGTTGGCATTTGATATCTTTGGGGAATGGTGCTATTTCCCTTAGTACAGTGGGAACATTACCTAATAAATGGAATTGAGAATCCAAGTGTTATAAAACCTGAGCTAAAAGGATTTCCATTCATCAAGATGTTTTAGGAATATGACTCCCAAAAGCAGGGATTCTTGACTGTTCCCTGGGTCTGTGACATGCAACACAGAAACGGACAAAATGATGTATGCTCTTCCCAGACCTCCCTCATTCCATTGCGAATGCCTTAACAGCCTAATGGGATTTTCAGAAAGTCAAGACCACAGACTCATAGGGGAAAACACACCCATTCAAAACTAACCATTTTAATTGTTTAAAAAGCAGGAAAAGAAGAGAAAAAAAGAAAAAATGCCCCCATCTGCCTAGTGAGGGCTTGTAAATCAATGCCAATAGCTTGAAAATAGATTTCTCAAACTTATATTCTCATTTTGTCCTGCTCGAATCTCTGCAGGAAAATCAATATTACAACTTCACACTTAAGACATTTTGCAGCAAGGCAAGCTGCCTCGGCTGCTGATGGAAGCCCGTTCCTGGCCCATTGTAGCGAAGGCGCCAAGCCATGACACGGGCACCGAGCTCCCCCTAGCTGCCAAGTGGCACCAGGCGCGGCTCGGCGTTTCAGGCTTGCCATCAACCAAAAGCCAATTCAACTGAAAGTTTATTTTGGAAAGTATTTTATCACAACAAGCAACAGAGAATGCAAAGCGATCAAGGAAGGAGATGAAAAGGAAAAAGGGAAGGCCTGGTGCAAGACGTGTTCTAAGCTAAAAGACAGCGCCAAGAGCTTGAGACTGATAAGGCGCTAGAAACTGGTGCTCTCTACAGTCAGAAGCTGATATCTGTAAACGAACTGTTCCGCATGCTTCCATCTCACCTGAGACATACCGCTAATTACTGTCAGATGCACCCAAAGCTGGCCTTTCTCTTCGGTCGGTGAGACCCATGGAGTCCTGCACCGTGGTCAGCAAAGCCCCACACCCAGCCATCTGACCTCAGCCTCCCTCCATGTTCCTAAGGCCGGCTTCACCAAAGTAACTGCATTCACTCTAGCACTTGAGAAATGACTCGGTTTTCTTGTACGAAACATTCTGGAGGCCACACAAAAAATCGCCAAGGCCAAGGCATAGGGAGATAGCAAGCTCCCACCCTCAAAGAAAGAAATATGCATATGTACATAATATTCAGGGAGGGAAAGAATACCCTTTAAAAATATTAAGGGTTGTTAAAATACGCTCACGGCTGTTTTCTCTCAGGTGTGAATTACAAATGAATAAAATCAGCCTGGCATAACACCTTTGATGAACACATTTTTATTCTCCGGTGGAATCAGAGCAGCTGACTTATATCACACTTCTAATGATATGGGGTTCCCTTCTGTGCAGAAAGGAGACAAACTTCACTCTCCCCCCCCACTACCCCCCCCAAAAAAAGAGGGGCCCATGTCTTATGAAATTTATCGGAGGCCCAATCTTGAAATATTGTGGACAACTGGAGATACACTATACCCCAGAGAGTTAAGGTCATTGTGAACCCAGCCGCCTCCAAAACACACAGCTATAGCAAAACCCAATTTAAAAGGCAACCGTGAAATTAACACAGTTAGCCTAACTTCCGTGTCAAACCTTGGGTCTCTAGTTGTTTTGCAAAATTGTGAATTCGTACAGAAAATTACTGATCTTCCAAGGAAACCTGTTGGTAGGTTGTTGAAAAAAATCACCTTTGCTAGTGTTGTATAATTTACCAGGGACATCTTAGTTTCTTCGGAAAGCCTCAGAGCTCCTTCGTGGACCAGACTTCATTTCAATTTCCCCTACTCTCCCTGTCTGGCACTGCGGGCTCAGCGCCCTTCCCTCTGCCTGGTCAGCCACTGCCCCTCTTCCTCCCTCCTCACTATTGTCACTGTTGTTTTGTGTTTGTTTTTATTAATAGCTGTGTCTGTCGTTCTCCCATTCTAAAAGCCATATCCATCTGGGTCAAACATTTTGAAACAAACCAGAAGCCCAGGTTTTCATCCCCAGCTGTCTCCCACCCTGTTTTATACTTCTCTTCTCTCTGGCCCTGTCTGTACATTTAACAAGGCTCACTATAGAGCTCTTCTCTAATGTCCCCCACCCCAAGATTGTTTGCTGTTTGTGTGCTCTTCCTGTCTCCCAGACCAGCAGTCATCCTAAGTTACATTGTCTCTAAAGAACCAGGGGCTGCCACCCCACCGAAGCTGCACCACATTTTGGGTAGTTTCTTTCGCATTTAAAATCTAGAATGTGAACCCTGGGGTCAGGGCTGTGATAGCACTCGTTTTTGCTGGCCAGGGCTCCAGAGCACCCTAAAGCCATGACTCCTGCATCCCTGTGGAGAGGCACTTCCACAGGCCATGCAACCTCAACAGCATCCAATTCTTGCCATCCCCCTGCCCGCACTCCTACCTCCCAGGCGACACAGGACAAACAGAGAAGCCAGCTGCTTTTTGATAATAAATAGCCTTGTCTGAAAACTGGTTGGACCACTCTCCCTGCTTGACCCCCTGCACATGCCCTGGGCTCCATGTGCCCCTGAAAGGCAGGCGAGATTACCTCTGCCCCTGCCTCCTCCTCCGCCTCCACCTCCTCACCTCTTCTCCTTTGCCTCTCTCTTCTCCCTCCCTCCCTGCTCCAGGGGCAGCGGCTTTTCCCCAGCACTGTTCCGAGCAAGGCTGAGCGACAGAGGGGACAAATGAAGGATGGAAGGATGTTGCACCAGGCACGCCTTGTCCCCCACAACCAGCTGCCACCAGTCCTTCTGGCCAGGGCTTTCTCTTGATGTCCCAGGAATGCCAGAGGGGGAGAGAGCAAAAGCAAAGCAAACCTACCTGCTTCTTCCCCCCACCCCCCCCACCTTACACACAACTGCAAACACTCCGGGCTCCTTTCCCTGCTTCCAGCTTGGCAATGCAGCCCTGACAACTCCCCCTTCCCCACCCCCCCAACTTCCCCCTCCTCAAAAACAACCCTGGCAATTATACAGAGGCTATGAGGGGCAAACTGCCTCCCAGAGAAACTAACCTCTGCAAATATAGACATTGTAACAACCAGTACACCATCTAAAGGGGGTGGGGATGTGGAGGGCTAAGGGACGGCTTCGGCTTGGTAAAGGATGAAATGTCAACTGGCCAAAAGGACCTTGATCAAACCAGGCTCAAATCTGGTTGTAAAACATTTTGTTTAAAAGGCAACCAGTGAGTCTTCTTTGATGTTACAATGGCGAAAAATAAAAGAGAAGTTCTCTTCCCTCCCTCCAAAAACGCATCCCTCTCCCTAGGCGAAGCCCGCTTTAAAATCTATTCCCTTCCCCAAAAAACAATAATAAATCCACAAATTCTTACTAATGTATCTGCTGCAACAAAGGAGAGGTGGCAGCGGCAATGCTCCGAGCAGATGGCTCCTATGCTGGGTGTTCAGGGGAGGGGAGAGCCCCTTTATATATTTATTTATTTATTTAAATTTTTTAAAATATAACATAAATATTCGGCTCTCGGCCGCCCCACAGCCAGTCCTAGGCTGCGGCTGGGCGCGCAGCCCTCTCCAGCTCCGCGCGGGCTGCCCGGCCCCAGCCCGACGAGGCGCTTGGAGGACTGCAGGAACACAACCTGCCCACAGTCTCGATGGCACCCAGAGGATGTTTTATTACTATTGCAATTAAAAAGAAAAAAAAAAAAGCAACGGCGACCTAGGCACCGCGAGAGAAAGGACCACGGGGAGATGTTCGCGCGCCGCGAAGCAGCGGCCCCGCGGGCTGCGCCGGGCAGGGAGCGCTGCGAGCCGACCTTCCCGTGCAACTGTGCGGGTACTCGGGGCGAGCTCCCCTGCAAACACCGTACCTGGCCGGCTCGCGCTTGCTTTTTCCCTTTTCTAAATAAACCCAACTCGGGCGCTGGAAGCTGCTGAGTCTCTGCCCCACTGCCTGACTTTGCCTGCCCGGCCACTTGCTTGAAATCCATACGATTTCAGCCGGTGGATTTCCACTGCGACCTGCCTTGTTTATTTGGAGAAGGAAGATGAAAGATACTGAGATAGAAAGATGGGTAGGAGATTGATAGGTCTCTCTCCTTTTCTTTTTTTTTTTTTTTTCTTTTTTCTTTTTATTTTTTCCCCCTATTTTACAAGCACATCCCTGTCTTCCTAATCCTAGCTGACAATCCTTCTTTTTCCCCGTGGCGGGGCTTTTTCACCAGCCCCCAACCCCCCCCCTTTTTTTTTTTTTTTTGGAGTGGGGGATAGAAGACAAGATCATCCCAGGAGACAGACGGAGGTGGGGAAATGGGGGTGGGGGCATGAGCCCAGCAAACAGCCGCGCAGCTGGATTCTTTTGCAAATAGCAGGAGGAGAGGAGAGAAAGGCGGCGGCAGAATCCTAGGACCGGCGTGGTCGGCGCCCTGCCCGGGCGGGTGCAGCGACCGGGGACCCGGAGCCGGCGGCCGCCCCTCGCCCCGCGTCTCTCCTAGGCCGGAGCGCACCCCTCTCTCCTCCGCCCGCGCCGTCAGCGCGGACCCACGCGCTCGCCAACTTTTCCCCACTTCCCGGCTCCCCCCTCCCCCTCCACTCCCCCAGCCCCCTCCCCCTCCTCTCCAAACCCCGCCACCAGCGCCGCCGCCGCCACACACGCCGCTCGGAGGGGCGAGCGTCCAGCCGGGCTCCGCGTGCACACACACCTCCTCCAGCCTGCGCGCCCCCTCCCCGGCCCGGAACCCGCTCCGCAGGCCCTCGAACCCGAAGCGCGTCTGAGTGCGCACCGCTCCGACTCCCAGGGCTGCAAAGAAACTTTCCTATGCCCCCCCCAGCCCCCACCTCCGCCCCATACTCTGGGCCGCCGCCGCTGCCTCTGCGAGTCCGCGGGCGGCCCCGGCGCTCGGCCCGGCTCTGTGTACCCATCCCCGGGCACCCGGAGCCCCATCCTCCGGCCCCTGGCGCGCACGCCGCAGACACTTACGGGTGATGAGCTCCCTCTGGGACAAGTGCTGCGGGTTGCCCTGTTTGCGGCGGGACATTGCCCCGGCATCTATTCTGGCATCGCCCGGAGAGCTGCACTGATGGGGGGAGCCGGGGGAGGGGGTCCGAGCCGCCGCCGCTGCCGCTGCCTCCGCCGCCGCGCCTCCTCGCCTCCTCTTCTGCCTGGGTTGGTGTTTTGTTTTTTTTTTACCCCCTTCCTCTCTTGCCCTCTCTTCCTCCTCTTCTTCTTCTGTATTTTGCTCTTTCTTCTATGCTGTTTTTTGCTTTGTTTGCAAAAAGAAAAAGAGAAGGAAAAAAAGGAAAGAAAAATCTCTCGATCTAAAATAGGAGAAAGAGGCAAAAAAAAAAAATCTGCTGTTGCTTGCCGCGGACTGGCTGGTTTCTTTAAAAATATATTCTTTTGAAGGAAAAAATTCGCTTACACTTCTTCAAACTGCTTGGCCTCCTGG